GTAGCACTCAAAGGAAGACATTCTTATAGCTCATGAATTGGAAATCTTAGCTGACCTCATATTAAATGCATTGCCTCCAAATCCAAATGTCAACCTTCTCCCTCCTCCCTTTTTGCACATATGCATGTAGGTGAAGATAATTAATAATGCAAGGTGAGAAAAGACACTCCCTTCATGTTTTAGTCCCCAAGGTGACTTGTGCTTAAAAAAAAATCACAGCAGCTCTCCAACCCCTCCCCAACCTTGTCCACGTACCTCCATTCATTTCCTGGCCCAGAGACATAAGGAGGTCACAAAGTTACACCTGCTTTCTGTTGTGCTTGAACTTCAATACTTAGGAAGGCAGCAGTGGAGAAAGGAAAAAGAAAGATGTGCCAGACGTTCTGGCTGGAGATGAGAGAAATGGTTTCCTGGGAGAAATCTAGGCTGGGCTCTGCTCCTGCTCTTGGTCATGGGTGTCTCCAGCCACTGTGGTGCCTGGGACAAAACTCTGCCTCTCATCCTGCAAGGTGAGGTAGCCCCTCTTCCTGTACTTCCGGATGCCAAAAATGGCCAAGACCATGACAGCTACCAGGATGGCCACGACTCCCAGGGTGATCCCGGCTGCTGCTCCTCCGGACAGGCCACTGCCATCCCCGTGGATGGTCTTCATGGCCCTGCGAAGCTCGAGCGGCTCTCCCAGCCTCCACAGGCGGGTCTGAGAATCTTTAATCCAGGATCTCGCAGTCTCACTATTGGTCACTATGACCGTGTTGGTGGCCACCTGACTCATGAGGGGTGGCCGACAGTAAGGTGGGAGCCTAGCAGGGGGCAGAGACCCTCCCGTAAAAAGCCCGGCCTTGATGCAGTAAGACACTTGGCACCCATCGCTGATGAGGGCTAGGTGCTGACTGAAACCCCCGGGACATGTTTTTAAGGAAGGTGCCCGTAAATCTCCAGTTACAGCAGAATCCACCAAAGGATTCCCAATGGTACAGCTAAAGAACCCACCAAAGGGGACTGAAAACCTGTATCCCATCTCATAGTCCTGAGAAGCACATACCTTGAGGTTTTCAAAAAGTCTCAATGGAAAATAGCCAGCCGGGCAGGACTGTGCATTGGTCAAAGGGTTTATGCTCTTCCCACTAAAGAGGCCCCCAAAAAGTAGTCCTGAGTTTTCTGCTACTTGGCCTCTGGCCACGCACCAAAACGCCCTAAATTCAGCCTTCGCCACTTGGAACACATCTTCACACACCGTCTTGCAGAAGATGAGGAAGGTGCACTTCCGTGGACATTCCAGGTGGTTATAACCCTCCTCGTGGATCTGGGATAGCAGGTGGATTGGGGAGTAGCCGGAGGGGCAGGAGAAATCGCCCGTGAGTGGGTTCTTCTGCTCCAAGTTTTGGCAGAGTGAGACAACCTCATTCCCTGAGAGCTGAGTGCATTCCTGATAAACTCCGCCAAAGGAGAAATTGGTCATTTTCCCCTCGCAAGAGCCATCATCAGTGTTAGCCTGGAAATTGAAGTTGGGCGAGTTGAGATCCGTGCATCCAGGGTAGGTGTTAAATGCATAATAGCGTCTCACAGCAGTTTCCACCGTCTTAGACAACTTTCTCACCAAGGGCCCCGGCAAGTCAGGCAGCATGTCAGGGTTGATGAAGAAATACAGAGGCAGGCCGGCGCGGTCTACGGCCACCAGGTGGTTGGTGATGCCCTGCTGCCAGGTCTGGAGGGTGATGCCTGGGTAAAAGGGAAGCCCTCCAATGCTTTGCACCCTGGAGTTGGTCCGGTTTGAGAGGTAGTTCTTGGTGAAGGCATTCTGCGAGGTGTAGTTCTCCTCAAATTTGAAGTTCACAATGTTTAGGAAGGTGATTCCCGCAGATGCAGTCACAGCACTGTGGCTGCTCTGGCTGTCCTGGAGGAAGGAGGATCTGATGTGGTCCTCTTGGATGAGGGCAGCTCCGGCATCCACGCTGGTGATGACATGGGTACCATAGTTGAGGACCAGGAGTTCTGCCAGGTAGGTGGCCATCCGCGTCTGGTTGTTCTCCAGACGATCAGAAATGTCCATGAGCTCCTTCTTAAATCCCAAGCTTAGTTCTGCATCTGGGTTGATTTTGACTGTGTAGACCAGGTTTCTTACTTGAACCTGGGTAGTTACAGCTTGGTCCTTCACCTGAAGGGTCTTCATCCTCTGGAACTCAGAGGAGAACTTGCCACTGACTTTGGAAAAAAGAGACAGCTCCGAGTTGATGGAGTAGGAGGTGCTGCTCTGGTAATTCACCCAGGACTCCAGGATTTTTGAGTTCATCTCCAGGTTGCTCTGTTTCTGGGGAATTGTAAATATTTCATCCGGGATGATGTACTGTCCGTCTTCTGTGGTCTGGCAGTGGGTGTAGGACAAGCCCATCACCCGTCCCATGTCCACATTCCGCAGATTATCCCAGCCACCTCCAGGTAAGACTCCCAGAACAGGTAGTTTTAAGGCATTCTTGCATTTTTGAAAGCCAGCCTCATCTGTCACTTCCAGAGGCATGTCCATTTTCGCCCATGCTGCCACTGCCCAGAGAAGGACAGCACCCCTGAAGCGGTTCATGGCTCAGAGAGCCCCAGCCGAACACACCAGTCCTAAGCAGCAGCCAGAGAGTTTGGGGCTAACTGAACTGAGTTACTGAAGCAGAGTTCAGCAATTCTCCTAAAGCCACCAGTTCCCCTTTAGGTTAATCTCATTGTAAAATGGGGAAATGAGAGTTGATTGGAAAACCTAAGGTCCCTCAGGACTGAAAAAAACTGTTGTACTAGATATGCAAACACAGCCCTAGATCCTTAACAGTTAACCCCCCTAACTGCCCCTCACCTCCCCCAGCCCCAGGCCGGTTACTCTGCAGTGGTCGTGGGCACTCAGAAATCTAAGTGCCACCACACACTGTACTGTCACCTCCACCAGAGCTTTCCATCTCTGAAAGAAAGCTTTGGTTTTGTTCTTTGTTCACTCTCTTGATGTTTCAGAGTTTCCCTGACTGCTCGCTCTCAATATTTCAGTACTAGTTTGCTTTTACTGCGCGCAGAGTTGGCAATAAGTTGGTGCCTGCTAGGATAACTTTAATCTTTTTATTCTGTTGTTAAGTGGATGTAACCAGTACAGGTGCATAGAAATGAATGTGGCTCTTCATTACTCAATTTTTCTTAAAGCAACAATTCATTTGTTATGTTATTAGGAGAAGATAATTTCACGAATGTGCTTTTGTGTATAAATGCTAGATCTATTAGACCTCATTATTTAGAACAGTGTTTCCAGGCCCATTGATCTAGGACCAGGATTAATGGAAGCCCATCTCTATTAACTCTTTGGGACAACTTGTGTACATCTTATATTTAGAGGTAGCCAGGGAATCTGAGGTTAATGGAAGTTCCCAATTGAACCCTTATGGCTCCCCAAATCCTGCATGAACCAGATGAGGTGCCAAGACTGAAAAAGTCATGTTTCAGTTCACAGGCAACCTGCATGCCTTCTGGAAAGAAGGTTTCAAGGAACTGAATTACTGCTGATTGTCACTGATGCAGCTGACAAGTCTTTTCAGATATAATGAGGTCAGTTGACAAGTTTCACAGGCTGAGCGTCGCTAGTGTTCTGTAAACCCAGAAACACTGTATTCTGGGTCTATTCATGCTTCAGTTATCATGCTCCAGGGAATTCACTTACACTCAAGAGGGATTAATTAATGAACCAGTATCCAGTTTATACTTGGCTAGAGAAGAAAGCCTCTGTACAGGATGTCCTGGTTAATTTATAAAGCAGTTAGTTATAAATTTATAGCTCAGTAGAGTGATCCTAGAATTAGAACAATCAGAGTTGAATGTCCTTGAGAACTTTCATTAAGTCTGTTGAAATATCCACATACATCTCTTGAAACGTTTTCAGGACATGGCTCATCAGAATCAGAAAACTCACTTACATGCTGTTTTGAAGACATGCTGGCAATTTCCAACTTTTTGTGTTTGCTTTAATAGATCCTGATGAGCCCTCACTCTTTTTCAATGAGAATAAAGCAAGATGAATATAGATAATTCTATATTTAGGTGTTCCTAGGTCTCTAAATACCCAGTCGTTGTCATCTGTTGGCAGGGGGATTGTGTTTACTTTTTCATTTATTTTTCAGAGGAAGCACTGGGGATTGAACCCGGGACCTCGTGCATGCTAAACATGCATTCTACCACTTGAGCTATACCCTCCCTCCCATTTTTTTTTGAATAGTCTTCCTCTTCATTTTTATCATAGCAAAAAAATTGAAAATTGCTAAAAGAGCCAATGAGAGTGAAATCATATAGCATGCCTATGACAAAATATTTTACAGCTTTCTTAATTACATTTTCAAACAATTTTAATAACAGGTGAAATTCTTAGTCAAAATGTTAAGTGAAAAAAAAGCATGATATCCATTCAACATGACCTCAACTATATACAAATACAACTAGCATAATATATACCAACCAACTCATTGACAGTAATTATATCTAGTACGTAGGCTTTATGATTTAAATTTTTTCCTCTTTTCTGAGTACTTTGAGTTTTTCAACAATGAGAATGTTTTGACTCATTTGACAAATTTTCCTTGAGAATCTAGCCAGTACCAAACACAGGGATGGGTACTGGGTAATTATCACTTTTTTACTCAGAAAAATAAGCAACAGAGAGACATTAAAAAAAAGGGGGGACCCAAATAGTTTTGAAATTTCCATATACCTGAAATGATCCAAAGCCTATGATTCTGTGTTTGCTGTGCTTGGTGCTCAAGGAAGTTCTTTTTTCAATTTACAGGGAAACAATAACAGAGGAAGTGCAAATGTTGGGAATTTCAACTTAACTTGAATTTGCATGCCACTGGCAGGAATTGTTGCTCATAATGATCAGGTATGGGGAACCGGCCTGCAGGAGTTTGACCATAGCGGTTCACCCACTCATTTTTGGCTTTCCTCTGCTCAACCAGCAGTGTCTTCTACTTTTTCTTGTACTGAAATACATAGACAGCCACCTAAACTCTCTAGATGGCCACTCCCAGAGCTGGTGTCTCAAATTTCAGCTTGGGTCTCTAAAAAGAAAAAGGCAACTTTTCTACAAAAGTTCTGCATATGTGTTATGAGGAGAGTGGTTTCACTTCCTCCAAAAAGAGGCAAGAGGGAAGTCCCACGTCTGCTTTCGTTCTCAGTTTGAGCACGTGCAACCTTCTGACAGCATCTTATGCAGAGCCAAGCCATGATTCACATCTGAGGTTCAGTTCTGGGTGGGCTTGGAGCCGGTCCAGGTGTTTCCTTCTTCTGTGTTTCACCTGCAGTCTGAAATAGGAACGTTCGGCCGTGTTTGCAGGGACCATTCTCCTTCTTATTTTTAGCAGGGATCTAGGAAACTGGACTTAGCAGAAGCCTAAAAACTGACAATCACATCGTCCCTAAATGGGTCAGAGAACTAAGACTTTTAAAGATTCTGAGGGGGGAGGGTACAGCTCAGTGGCACAGTGCATACGTAGCATGCACGAGGTCCTGGGTTCAGTCTCTAGCACCTCCATTAAAAAATAAAACAGATACAGCCAATCACCAGTGAAATTTAAACAAACTGAAAATAAACATTCTGGAGCACCTTGGTTCTGGGAAATCCAAGAGGCTATTGGTAACCAAGTGACAATGTTTTCTTTTTCTGAACAGCTAATTGCTAACCTGATGGCTTGAGAGATTGCTTTGCAGTTCCTTCCCCTCAGAGACTGCTCTTCCCATCAGGACTGCCTGTATCCTGACCACAAAAGCCAGAACACAGTGGTTTCTTGATTCCCTTTCATCTGGTGGGTAAAAACAGACGGCCCACTTGAAATTCTGCACATTCCCATTAAATAGGCCAGAACCGGGCGGCCTCGGCCATTGTACTTCTTTTCTCTACTAACATTTGTCCCTCACGTCTTTTTTTTCTTATTCTTTTTCTCCTCATCAACTTTTCCCTTCCTGCTCTTATTTCTCTTTGCCATTTTCATATTTAGGTCTGGAGGACACAAGTCTGTGATTTGGGTGCTACTTCTACCGCACTGAGGAAGGAAATCTCGATGTGGCGAAGACTTCCCCAGCAGGCTGCCACTCCCCTAGTCCATATCACGGCAGACATCGCCAACCAGACACACCATTAACTCCCCCTGAGGCTCTGAGGCTGCCTCAGTGTCATTCTCAGCACGGATTCCCCAGGACATTCTAAAGGAAGACTGTTTCATCCACCCATTAAATAAATACTCATTGAGCATCTGTTTGTCAGGAATCCAGTGTAGGCACCATTTTTGGAGTAGCCATTGTCAAATTTAATGCTCATTTAAGAGTCTGGTTGACCTGGTGAGCTCTTGGAACCACTGATCCCTCTTCATCTACTCCCCAAACTGAGCTCCACTGGGACTGAGCAGTTAGGACCAATTCATTCCCCGTCCCCGTCTGCCTTCGGGTTTCCTAATGGCACCAGTCTAACAGGAAGAGTGCCTCTTGGGTTCTCCTTCAGCTGAAAACAGCTGAACACAGAGATCTTTGCCCACAAGAGAACTGGAATACAATGGAATTTCTCTCATGCCCCTGTTTCTTAGTCCCCAAGTCTTTCCTGTCATGTAACTACCCCTTTGAGGAAGATTTGAACAAAGGAAGTGACTGGGTGGCCTCTGGCTTCTCTGGGTTGACTGCTGGCGGAGCTCATATTTCTATATTTGTTTCATGATTGGGTAACACGAAACCAGTCTAACATTTAATCTTTCCCTCTTTTATCACAGGATCTTCAAGTGGACTTTGAGCAGAGATAAGTAAAACTTGCCCCCATTTCTCTTCCTACCTGAAATAGCCATGAAAACAAGTGAGTTAAGTGAGGTGGTTTTTTCATCAGGGAATTATGTGGAATTGGGAGCTTTGGGTCCTCCACTGAAATGTTCCTACTGTCTTTACTACCTTTTTTGGTGGTCTAAATGTGAGATTAATATCATGGGCTGGGTTATGGGTCTGTTCAGTTTCTAGACTTTGTCCAGCTTTGTAAAGTCACTCAAAGTATCTCAACAGCTAGACTGATGAACATGGTTGTGAAATAGAGTTTTCAGAGCTGAAATGCAGGCAACATCCTGGCTCCAGACGTGACTTTGGATAAGTTATGGAGTTTCCCTCAGCCTCTGTCTCCTCAACTATGAAACACAAGTAGCATCTACCTCCATGCGGTAGATGAACTTGCTAAGACTGAGACAGGAAGGAAGAGGGCAGGGCACAGACATCAAAGGAATGACACAGCATTTACCACCAAGATGGCAGAAAATTCAGCTCCCAATAGGCCTTCAGGCCCCAAATGGTGGGATATTTGACCTCCAGTGGACTTTGAGCTATATTATACACATTGTAATGTATTAGCATGGTGAACGACACCCACAGGTGCCATGACAGTTCTGAGGCTAACCATGAAAGGTCAAAAAGAGGTCCAATTCCTGGGGATCACCACCCCCTTTCCAAAGTAGTTGGAATAATCCTCTCACTTGTTAGCATATAAAAATTAGCAACACCGTGCCTCCTGGCATCTCTTGCTCCCTCACCTTCTGACATAGCTGTCTATGAACTGCGTACCTACTTTTACTTTAAACTATGCAACCAACCCCACACCTCTTGGCCTCTCTCTTGCCTTCTGAGACAGCC